CAAACATACTGACTTTTTCAATGATGTGTGTCACTGACCTCAAATGATATTATATTTGCACAGTACAACGAGAGTTCATAGATGTGCTGTAAAGACCTTGACATCATGGCTGTTTTACTTTAAGATGCAGTAGAAAGGACCTCTACACTGTCAAACTATCCATTTACAGTTTCTTTCTTGGTTAAAAATATTTTCTATCATTTAATTTTAGTCTTAGCCTAGATTTTAATAAAAAAAATGCATTATATTAAATTGTGCTAATTTAATAAATGTGAAACTATCAAGACAAGTTGAAGTAACAAACAAGCTTGCAGGCCAAACTTACAGCAACTCCTAGTACAAAAAATACATTGTGTTCACATATATATATATATATATATATATATATATATATATATATATATATATATATATATATATATATATGACAAACTGATCTGCTGCCTGGTGCACTATGTGGAACAGATGTTTTATATTTTTTTTTATTTTATACGTTTTATTTCTGCAGTTTTTTTAGTGAACAATTAGCCATTCTTTCTAACTAAGAGAAAGCAAATTCTAGCTAACATTTTGTTGTATTGACACTTGCTGCTCACTCTACCTCGTTTTCCTTCTCCCTCATCTGTGAGGCTCACAGCAGTCTGGGACTCGCCTCATCTGTGGGGGCACAAATGACACGCACACTACAGGAATGTAAATGAAAACGGATATAGACTCGTGCGCTGCTCCTCGTGAGTGAAGTCTATGTGATGTCATTTTAGATCAGCTGGCTGTGTGGCCTACTGTGTCAGCCACATTATAAGATATTGTTTAACACTATGGGGCCTACTATAAGAAGTCAGCTTCTTAATTGCTGCCTTTATCTTAGAATTTTCCCTATCCACCTTAAATGGTGCAGCAGTTACATTCTGGCGCCTGAGGCTTTAAGGTAAAACGGGGAAAAAAGCTAGCGAATAAGAAACAAAACCGTGCTATGCGCACCACAATGTAACTGCTGCACCATTTAAGGTGTAACAGGAAAATTTGAATGGGAAGCCAACTCCAGCCTCATTTGTGAATTTGTGTTTAATGTATAGATGTGTAATGCAGTTTGATAATTTGGAATCATTTGTCAGATTAATAATTGCTGTTATTTTATTAAATAATAACTTGAAAGGTGAAATACTGTAAGCTAGGCATTAAAAGTATTGTAAGATGTTTGGAACATGAAATTATTAAATGATAATTATTGTACTGTACTTATCTGTTTAATACCTTAGCAAATTATCTGTCTTGAGATTTGATGACCGCTTTTGAAAGATCCATATTCTAATTTCTAGCTCTGTCAAGAAAAACGCTTCTAACTAAACACAAAGGCTGCTAATTATGCTGATGCTGATGTTGTTACATATGTTACTAACAAAACAATATACTATTCACATACTGCGCATGTTTTTGGTTAGCAAAACACTCCTTTATTAAAACATACATATGTTATAAAGTAAGTTAGCAAAACTCTTTTTATTACAACATGCACGATTCTGCATTCAACACAAGCCCGCACGTCATTTCCGTCCACACAGGTGAGGTGAGTCCCAGACTGCTGTGAGCCTCATAGATGAGTCTGTTGAGTTTGTGTGCCCATAATCTAGGAATTATATTAGTAAAAATGCACCTTTACATCTTTCTTTTAGAACAGTGCGTGTATGGAGTGCCTTTTTGTAATTTTGACATTTGTGTTTTTCCCTTTATCAACATTATTGTATCTGAACTGATCAAAGGGTAACTGTACGGAAAAGTCATAAGAATTTCACTTTTAACAGATCTGTCACTGGCTTATTTCTTACAAGGTTGCTTTATCCAGTTGACTGATGCACTTTAGGGCTGAGTGACAAGGCAGTTTAATCAGACATCGTCAGTGATTGACAAGTAACCCAATGATGATGTATAAACGTTTTGGGACTAATTTATTGTTAAACAGCTTGTAAATAATGTTGGGAAATTGTTTCAGGAGATGCCTTGCCTTGGAAGTTCAGATTGCTTCAGTGTGGCTCGTGAAAACAGCCACTAAAGCGACTGGGCAGCTAGTTCTGACCAGGAACTTTTAGATGTAAAGAACGCTACTGATCCCAGTCTACACGCAGTAAACAGGATCAGAAAAAAGTAACACAATATTAAATGGTACGTACACGTAATGTTTTTTTCACTTTTACAATTAAAACACTAGGTTATCACAGAGCCTTAAAACCCATTAGGCACAGTAAATTGTCCACTGTCTCTTCTGCATGTGATTTACTCTCTGACTAAAATTAGCATTTTAATGTTGCAGCATGGTAGATCTATATATATCTATATATATCTGTCGGGGAATCCTGCCAATTTTTCACAGTTTCTGAATAATTCAGTCCTTGAGATGTAAACAGTATTTAGAGTGGTTTAGTGTGAACAATTCTAACTTGTCAAGTTTCTCTAGAATGGAGCATTTCACACCAAACCACTTTTAATGACTTTGTTTATATTTTAACCATTTAAACCATGTTTAAAAAGGCATATTAACTAAAAAGAGAATAGGAAGTAGGTCAGAGCTGTGGAGTGTGTGTATTGGTTTGGGTTGGGGGCGAAATAATTAATAATCATAGTATTTTAACTAGAAAATATTGTGCTAATTACTTTTAGATATCACCCAGACCTAATGCACGTATACTTGTGCAGTATGGGGAGTTTTTCTCTGTTGCACAAGTAATTGAAATGCTCTGTTACAGAATGTCTGTCTGAAAGCTGAAGGTTCAATTCCCCACACTCTCTGTCTAGTTAAGGCATGCCTTCCGAGATGTTGCATGAATCTGAAGAACTCCATTTACAAACATTGAATCGGACGGCATGAAATTGAGGGCATCCTCAAAGTCATGGCCCCTTCAACTTTGATATCCCATCAACTTAAGGCAACACTTTTATTTATCCTTATTAATCAGTCAGCAACCCACTGACATATGATCCAGCCTCAGCACCATGACATAATGTGGTTTTAATATGAAGATGCCCCTGTATATCCGCTCTGATTTATGTTACAAAGTATCTCAATTGTATCGAGCGTGAGCTACTCAAGTGTGAAATAAATTAAATCTATATTTCTTCTGAGACTTATCTCTCAGAATTATGTACACATAGGCCATTGATGGGGCCATATTTTATTATGTTTGTGCAGCAGGGGGCCTGACTGCGACATCTTGCACCGGGGTCACTGCCTTTGTCACACTACTTTGTGGAGTTTGAATAGCAAAGGTTAATGATATTGCTATAGTGTTTCAGCACGACTCCATAGACTGAAGGAGGTACTTTAATGTGGATCTCGTTATGCATAATGGGGCTATCTGCAAGATGAATGATTGCAGTGTGATTTTGTGAGTGTTCTGTTGCAAACAAAGCCAAACCAGACAAGAGGTGATGTTTTTTACATTAAGCATTTTTAGATGTTATAGATTTTTTACAGTTAGTGTTTATCTGGGTGAAATTAATATTAGACTGAAGTTAACTAAAGGCCTTATTTTATTAGAATTGATGTTTCCTTGTGTGTCTGTCATTTAGTAATATATGTTACATTTTGATATTCTACAAAGGGCTTGTAACTGTTTAACTAGGAGATTTTCTGTCTGAAGTTTACATCTAAAGCTTTGCAGTGAAGCCAAATTGTATAAATTTTATATTTTGCTGGAGTACTCTCAGCAGATTTCTAAATCTCCTAAGTTTTGTTACATTTTAACAGAATTTATTTTTACTAATGTTTGCATTTTGAACTACATTTCCTTGATTCTTCAGAATGCAGTCTGAAGTAGTGAGGTTGGTGCAAGTTACCACACATTAGTCCTCCACTGGGGCAAAAGTAAGAGAGTAAAAGAGATGCTCACCAGTTAGTCTTTATCTGAGTGTGTCCATCTCCCACCCTCTCCCACCACGAGTGAGTGCGGCTGTGCTGCACTGCAGGTGGAGAATGAAAATATGAGGGTGGTGTAGAGAGCCCAGACAGCCGATGGTGCCAGATAAGAGCCCTCTGAGGGAGGTAAGGGAGCACAGCCAGCCTTTATTAATGAGGCTGCACTGGAGCTTTCACACTGACAGTAGCACTGCGCCCACGCCGTGCTAACTTTCTTTATGTTGAAAGGGAAAGTCTGGCCTAAACATATTGTACAGTAACTCGATTCCCACAGTTACATGGAAGTGTCACTGAAGTATGACTTATACCAGTTTTGTAAATGATTGTGTAGACTGAACTGTAAAATACTACCCAGTGAAAAACAATTTAAGACCATATTTTTTCTAGCAAGATGAGTTGGATTAACATGAGTCTAGGAATTGATTTGTTCTGTTCGTTTTGGCACATTTGAGATGCGTACTACATTTGCTTGTTTTGTGCTGGTTTGGTTTCAAGTGTCACTGGAGCATGCTCAGAAAAATACAGTTCAATTTCTGTTGTATTTGTCAAAGCCAATACAAGAGGCCAGCGTAGCTTAAATAACAGTTTATAAAGCTGTCTGAAATTGATGAGGTGGACAATAAATGGTGACATATTACTGGCTGACAGAAATCAAATTCCATAAAAGTGAAATTGAAAATCCCCTAAAGCCCCTGTGCTGCTGAGTAGACAGCTCTTTTTAAAACAAGCAAGTTCTCACAAGAAGGAAGAAAACTTACCAGAGAAGTGTGTTGCAGTTTATTTTGAGAGAAAAAAAAAATCTGGCTCGAGAAGTCAAGCAAGACTTGTAAGGGCTATAAGCTTTATCTTACTTTTTTTTTTTAAACATGTCATGATGAGACATGACCTACTCTGGTTCAAGAACAAGTCTTGTTGCAGATATCAGATTTATTATTTGTGTTACCCCAGTAGCTAATGTTACGAAAGAAAGAAGGGAACTTCTTCATTCATATTGCCTACAGAAATGGCTTTAATGTTAACTCCAGGCATATTCCAAACAGAAAATAGTTTAATCTTAACGGCATGTGAATCATTTCACTTTTTGAAGCAGATGCCCAGTGGAGATAGCCGCCTGTCCAGCCACAACGTGTCCCAGCAGTACCGTATGCACTACTACTCAGCAGCATCCTATCTCAGCCAGGGCCTGGGCACAGCTGCCTGTGTGCCCTCCATTTTCACCCTGGAGGAGAACAATTCCTGCCCTGAGCCCAAAGCTGCAGGTCAGTTCTTCCTCTCTTTCTTTTCTCTCTCTCACCCCACACACACACACACACACACACACACAAACACATATGCACACACCTCTCACAGGCCCATAAAGTTTTATCCAGAGTTTATCAACAGTGTGCACAAGTACATCTGAGGGAGGTTCTCTCTGCGAGTCAAGGGCGCCATAAAATTCTCACAAATACATAAATTCAAAAGTAAAACTTTTATTATGGCCATTTGTCCTAGACCTTCAGATTTAAAGAGATAGGAACCACATGTAGTACAAACAGTCATTCTGTTTTCAAAGTTACAAAAATCATAAACTGATATGCGATGATGTTCTTGAATAAGCCTGACCAATATGTAGTAATAGCTATTAGTTTTAAAACTTTGCATTTTTTAAATTATTTGGTGATATTTGGTTTTAAACCACCTAGAATGAAAACATGTAGATGGACATTTCATAAGTGATGCTGATAGAACGCTAGCATGCTCTGGTTGTTTCAATAGATCCACCATTCCCCCATATCCCAAAGCCCTTCACCTGCTCTGGCTCTTAATGAATTTTACATGCTGTTTTCCAGTGGCCCAAACATGAGGGTGCCTATCACCCCCACTCTCACTCCAGGGGGTCCCATGCTCCATTACAACACAAAAACGCTTCAGTCCGGGTGGTCCCAAAACAGTGATACTAACTGCCCAGTTACTAAGGAGATGCCAGTCTGCTGTTTGCTTCCTGTGTCTTGAATTTAGCAAGTTATGTGATACCTGCTAGTGCCAATTCTGCATGCATCTTTCTTCAAAATACATTATTAACATAAAAGTATAAAACTGCACTGAATTAACTTATATAAGTATGCCTGATAGGAAGTATTTCACATTAAACCAGTAAATCCAAAGGCTTTTCAAAATATGCCTTTTTGTGAGTTTCCTCTCTTGTTCAGCTAGTTCTGCCCAGTTTAGGTTCTGTTGTGAGGGAAAACCAATGGCCATGACCTTGCATGCATGGCCAGGCTGGCATGGCTGAAGAAAGTTGTTATCTGTGCTGAGTCACCTCCCATTCTACTGTGGCACGTCCACAACTCACACAATTTCTGTCATCATCATTAGTACATCCAGTGCAACCGAGTCTGATTAGGCACCTAATTCTAGACCCATTTCCCAGCATTACTATATACCTGTAACTGTGTCCCTTCTGTTAGACAGGGAGACCTTAGAGATTACACTGTTGTAATAGATAATAGGTAGAGTTTTTAGTAGGCCTGAGCATTTTAACCATCCAACAAGAAAATATTTTATATTATAAATAAAAATAAAAATAGAAGTTTAACATAATTTCATTGCAAGCAGCTAGCATAAAAAAGTGACCTGTACCTGATCATTCAATTGATTGTGATTTAACATACTACTAGATGACCTTCAGAATGTGTTTAATTGATTGTATAAATTTGCCATCTGTTTGTATATATTGTTTCCATCTGTAGTTCTGCTTAGATTTTGCTTAATGTTAGATGCAATATCAGCTACTTATGTCTTGACATTCTCTGTGGTTCTACATTGCATGCTCAGCCAAAAATCATTCTTAGATGTGTTTTGCAATAAATGTTGATTTGACCTTGGTTTTAGATCGGTTGTGGTTTTTGCCTGGACAAACGTCTGGAAGAATATCCCAGTAAATGTTTTCAAACTTTATATATCATGATATGTTGATGAATTTCTATTTATTGATGGAAACTACACTTGGATATTGAAGGCAAAGTTTGATCCTTGATCCTTAAGATGTAGAGAATGATGTAATGCAATCATAGACATATGTCTTTCTCTGAGAAGGCCTCTGAGTAGCCCATATAGCTGCTGTGCCTGCTGCTCTCAAGTGTGGTGTGCTGTGTATTTATTTCCCCCTTGTGCTGCTGGGTAATCAGTTGGCCAAATACGAGCCCAAATAACCTTCAGGAGTGCCACGCTGTCCTTTCTGAGCGGGCCCCTTCCACTACCGTCTCTGGAAAATTGCCTCTGGGGTTAGTGAGCAGGAACAGTTAAGATTTACAAACAATGATGAAGCTTGTCATGCGTCTTTCTCCATCCGTCACGAGCAGCGGCCCTGCCGGGGCGTCCAAGTGTTCTTCATAAAAGGCACCTCGCTGTGAAATACGCCCCTGTGCGCGCTTTACTGCTGCGAGCTCGTCAGCAGCACTCTGCCGTAAATCGACTGGGCCGCGGGTGACACTGCACTCCATCACCCGCCCGGGGCCGCCTTACCCCCCACCCTTGCCCCCACCCACCAAACGTTCACGGGAGCCGCCCGTCATCCACGGAGATGATGTGCCCGCCGTGAGTTATGTTGGAATTTTAGTGTTATACGAGACAGCTTCAGGTTTTACCATTTTCTTTCACGCTTGGCATTTTTTTTGTTGTTGTCGCTGTTCATTGCTGAAAGTGTTGAAAGTTAGTTGTCTTGTGTAGGGCGAGCCAAGTTTACTTTTGAAATAAGTTACAGTGGAAGTCGAGTTACAGTGTTGGAAGGGAAACGATAACAGGAAGTAGAGTTGGCTTCCCTATATGAGTTGAACAGCCATTACCACTGAATGGAACTGTTAAATTCAGTGTCAGATTTCATAGTGAATTAGTAATGAAGTGGCAGTCTTACCTGAACTTCAGATCTGTATTGATCTTACTGTTGTATATTCCCTCGGGATGCTGTCCTGATCACAAGAATAGTAGATCATTCCTGTTATAAATCATATTCACTCAATGCTTTCATTTACAATATAAAACAAACCCCTGTTCCATATAAGGAATTTGTTAGTTCTGTCTATACCAAACCCCATGTTAAATGAAGGCTGCTTTGTTTACAGTCTAAAATAGCCTCCTGTTTTTTTACATCCCAGCTTATAAGTATCTATATTGTGGCATACAAAGATGTTTGCCATCAGCTGTGGTCAATGTATTACTTGCTGTTATTTCTCTGTGTCTTTGGTAGCCATGTCCTTTGTGCCAAATTCACATTTCTGTTGGCATTTCGCAATATTATTTTAATCTATTTAATCCCATTCCTCTCATGAATACAGTACTGTGCAAAAGTCAGACACCACCTTTTATAGCTTAATTTTCTGTCAAAACAACCATTAATTGCAAGTTATTCATTTTTCAGTATCAGGAAAAAAGCAAGAAAGATATATTTGACAGAAAATTACACCAAATCCTTAACAACTAAATAAAATGTCATAGCTCTCAGGGGTTGCACCAGCAGCTTTTTTGTTTGATTTGCTGAATTTTTCTTTCTTTTTTTTTCCTTTTTGGTCATTTTTTTTCTTTTCTTAGTATCAGTATCTTGGCAGCTAGACAGCTACACATCCTTTCAGACCCACAGTGTTATCTTCTCAGAGTGGAAGGATGAGCAGAAACACCTGTAGATTTTATCATATCTAATGCTTGAGTGGAGCTTGATTTTCTCCTGTCTCACAAAGCTGAAAGCTTTAAGTACTGTTTATCTGATGGTGACAGTTTTGGTGGTCCACTAGGTCTTGCGTGGTTGGTTGGAGTCTTATTTTCTTTGAATCATTTTTTAATGATTGGACAATGAATGGCATATACTTAACGACTGTTTTGACTGGAAATTAAATAAACGACGGGTGGTCTCTGACTTTTGCATGGTACTGTGCATGTTACTTATTATTTTCATAGTCACTGAATATTTAATAGCAGTTACTGAATAATAAGCCTTCAGCTGAATAACTGAATAATAAGCCTGTAGTTTTAGCAGTTAACTCTGTGAACCACAGAGTCATTTTAACATGGAGGAAAACACAGTGCTGTAATTAGTCATGAAGCTCAAACCTTTGATGCAGATCTTATTCCTTTTGACAGGTTCAGTCTAGCTGTATCCTTGAGAATATAAATCAGCAGTGACAAACTTGCCACAGTCTTGAGATCACATTTACCAAAGTAATTTTCTGGAAATAAAAGTCTCACAAGCATAATCAAAGCCACCATTCACTCTCTTTCACTGTGGGATTAACACAGAGAAAAGTGATTCTTTCTCAAAGGTCTAAGTACAATAAAGTGGTAAAAATTGAACAGGAAGAGGTGTAACGTCTCATGTAACAGAAAAGCTGTTGAGCTTTTCTTAACCTTACTAATCCGCCCTGTTGACATCACCCCCAACAGAGCAGTCTCTCAAGATCTTATTGATAACCTGAACTCGTGAGGTCATGTTTGCAGTATTTATAGTTATGTTTAAGGTTTTTCTTACCCTTTTCTTTTGCCCTGAGATCACTTAAATGGTCCAAATAAGAGAGATATGTTTAAAATATCTCTCTAACACTTTTCAATCAATAGGCAAGCATATGACACAGGTCCATTTGCCATCATGCTGACAGGTTGTTTATAAAATTGCTTTTCAAATGTAATGTTGACTTTGAATAACCTATAGTTATAAGGAGCTGTGCTTCACAGATTTAGATATTGATCTTATTACAACTGCATTTAGCATTTTAGTCAATACTGCATGGACTTCAAGATGTGTGCACCTTAAATGGCAAAACCTCAACAAAGCTTTGTACTACTAAATCTTAAAATGAATCAGCGGCCTAGAGGCGACATCCATGGCTGGAGTCTAACCACAGTCTGCTGTCTAACAGCTTAAGGCACGCTTAGCAACTCCTCCATTTCATGCTGTCTTCCTCTCTCTGCTGCTGAAGCTAAATGCTCTGTCTTTTCCCTCTCTATGGATTGGTTAAATACCAGCGTAATTGCCTGCTCCAGGCTCAAGTACTGTTGTAATGTCTTGTACAACATCTCCATTAAGACTTGCCTGAGGCACAGAGGAGATTAAATGGGTAAGGAACACTGATTTATGTTCCTCTATTGCTTTTGCCACTGTTCAGCCCAAAGACAGGTTGAGTCACTGAGATCAAGATAATGAGATAACATTTAAAGGAATGTAGATCAGACACTGACTAATAAGATGTTTTGGAACCAGTTTCGATGTGAGTGGACAAAATTCCATCTT